TCGTAGGGTCGTTACAGTTCCCAACCATCCCGGGCGCCCTCAGGGCCCTGGCGGGCTTGCAGTCCCGAGCGCCCTGGGTAGGGTGGGTAAGAACGGCGGGGCATGGCGTCCGTCTTTGATAAAGACCGCTGTCCGATGGGCTGACTCCCGGGCCCAGGAGGCTTAATACAAATGGCATCTCCCGGCCATCCTCACCAGGGATCGGCTGTCATTCGCAGAGCCCGACCGTCATTCGCAGGGCCCGGCCGTCATTCGTAGAGCTTGGCCGTCATCTGCAGGGCCCGACCGTCATCCGCAGGGCCTGGCCGTCATCTGCAGGGCCCGGCTCTCATCCGCAGGGCCATTTGCAGGTGAGACACCTATGGGGCCTGGCCGGCCGTCTGGGTAGTGGTTAGGACGGACCACAGGATAGGCGTCCGTTCAGGGCAGAGTTCCAGAAACCAGTGTCCATCCCGTCCGAAGCCAAGGACGGATGGACTGGACGCTTGGGAACACTGGAGATGTGTCGAAGGAAGTGGAGATTGCGACGGGGGCTCCGGGAATTGAGTGTATGTAATACAACTCAACTTCAAGTGGCATATTTACTGACCGTAATTGAGTTACATAGATTTATTAAGTGGTGTTTGATAGAGAGCGGGGGTTTGGGGGTTTGGGGGTTTGGGGGTTTGGGGGTTTGGGGGTTTGGGGTTTGGGGTTTGGGGGTTTGGAGGAATAATGTTTTATTTTTATCCCAAGTGGATTGGCGGGTCTTGGAGGTTTTTGTATCTTCTCGTCCAATTGACTATCTCCACGTGGGGTTCTGATCTCCGCACGAGGGGGCCATGGCCTCCACGTGTAGGGATTGGAACCCTGCCAGGAGATAGTCAATTGGACGAGAAAATAGGATAAATCCCAAAAAAAAGAATTCACCCTTTATACAGTTTGCTAACCAGGTTCCAATACTGAATTTGTGTGGAAAACTTTCTGAAAACCACCACAAAACACCTTCGCCAGTACGAACATGAGATGCCGGACTGCAGCGGTGAGGCTTGTTTGCAGTTGCAGCGCTAGTATATAGTCGCACCCCGCTATTAGCTTCCTAATCGGGGCTTTATGCGGCCATTCTACATCACCAGCCCCGCGCAGATACGCTATACCACGGGTCACTGATGCCCGTACCAACATCTACGCCTGCCTCAACTACCGCTGTACTCCGACAGATGCAGATTTCCTTCCGGCAGATGCCGTTGGCTTGGTTGTCACGATCGTCACCGCACATCTCGTGCTCCTCATAATAGCTGTGTCTGCTCTTGCCCTCATCATCCGGATTGGAACATGGCTGTTGTCTACTCTATCAGCTTCATTCAACTCTACTACCTGTTTTTAAAAGTATCCAGATGCCTTTCGTGCTAAGAGATTCTGATGTACATCTAAGTTCTCGATAATGGGTAGTATGATGGTGGGGAAATATGTCAATACATAATCCATGAGGGCAGTTTGTGCTTTCCTAATTAAATAACACTTTCAACCTTTGACTGTGTATCGGTAAAATATACAAGTATCGGGATGGTACTGTATTATGCAATAAGAGATATCACAGCCACCAATACCTTTGCTTAACCACCTCACCTAGGCTAACCGTCAAATCATAACCTTTTAGTTTTGACCAACCACCTAATCAATAGATACGGATGAGTGCAGGAAACGCAGCAAGCTATCATAGTTGTATTCGACGGGAAAGAAGATAGGGGGTGAGGGAGGGAGGGGTTAGTGAGTAAGGGGTCCGGATGGAGAGGTTTGATGGAATGAGAAGTGGGCAGCATGGGTTCTGATAGCTGTGCCTAACATGTAGGGGGTGTGAGATTGAGAATGGGCAGGTGCGTGGGAAGGAAGGAATGCTGCATGAAGGAACCCGATGATCGGGGGATGACTAGGCAGGCTTGGCATTTGTCAGGTGAGTAAAGTGGCACGTGGTTAATATACCCGCCAAGTTACGCTTCATCCACTCTGGGTTAGCGCACGGATTGGGTAAGCGCCACAATGACTTAGCATACTCGCCCAGTGGCCTATCATCCACCCTCGGTTAGTGCGTAGATTAAGCGCCACAGCGATTTAACATACCCGTACTGTACGTACCCTCCGCTCTGGATCAGTTCAAGGGTAACGTTACCTAATATTGATTAATAAAATGAAGGGAATATACCGAAGAACAGATGTCACTTTGGAGTGACTCCGGGGTTTCATTTACAGTAGGTCAGGCTTTGAGTTATATAACTGGGACCTAGTCTTCCTTTAGGCCGGGATCTTCCTGTGGGTTTCAATGTGCCTTGAGAGCCAGGGTAAACGGGGTGGAGAGCTAAGGCTTGTATATTGTACTCTTGGGATTATGGTGAATGAGGTCTACAGATGCATTGGCTCTGGCCTGATGTATTGCGGCTCCGGGGGGTAGATTCGTATTAAGCATGTCAATCAGCTGGGCAGGGAAGAATGGTTTGCGATCACGGCATATCACTCGGCATCAAAAGAAAGAAATATGTTGTAATTCTTGATTGAAGTTGTATTTCTTGCTTGATTTCATGCTATGCTGAGGGGCTACAGGCTCCTATTTATGCTGTATATGACATATGCAATATGTAGGAAAAAAGGAAAAGTCAACGACAACACCATTGCATAATTCAGGAAAAAGTGAGCGAGACACAATTAAACAAGTCTTGCGATAGAGTTTCCGAGGAAACTCTGTCATAGTCAACCATGTAATGAGTTCATCTACCGATGAACTCATAACGGTAACTATGACAGAAATACTGTCGATATCAATGACACTACCGAAGCATATTCGGATGTCATATTACAACAAAATGAAGTGCAACTGCACACTGCGCAATTAACCCCCTACTGGGTGATGATAGTGCTTCCATGTCGCTCCGCCTTGTAGATTGTGTGAACACAACCTGGATCGAACCAGAACCTGGGGTATAGCCCGTTATGATAACGTAAATTCTTGTCAACGAAAATAAGAAGTAGAAAGTACGACCCCCCCAAACCCCGTCGCTATTCCCCAAACGCCACCTCGGGTATTTGTGACAACTCCTGTATCATTGCTACTCCCATGGTATGAAGTGCTCTATACCATATTAGCCTTTGCTAGGTGGAAGGGCTCCCACCCCCACATCAAGCACATTATATACACCCGGCTCCCCCCGATCCCTGCTGAGCACACAAGCGCCGCCCAACCCCCTCCGCAGCTCCGTCCACGAACTCAAGCACTGAACATACAGCCCCCATCACCGCGGTGAGAAACACGTCGGGTTCCATACCCGATAGGCGACTGTTAATCGGGTTCAAGGGGATAGTCAATTGTTGCTTACCACGCTTCCTCGCGTGGATGGGCGAGAATTGGAGATGTGGGCAGCAGCGAGTCCTATGCGCCAAGTCCGCTAGATACCTAGTGGCGGCATCCGCGATCACAGACTCTGTTTGGTCCCTTACCAATTGCGGAAGTCTGATGCGAGACGCCGCGAACTGACTGACGTGAGTGAGCCGATGCGTCCAAAAGAAACGCGGAGAATAATGGCCGCACAACACTAGTAGAGTTGACTTTCAAGGAAGGGTACCCCATATTAACAGCGAACATTTGGATGGGGCATGAGCCAGCACCAATGACCCATTGCCATGGTGACAACTTAAAAAAAGGTTCCCGAATTATTCATGGTGAAATCATGCTACTATAGAAGATTATTAGGTAAGAACAGTGCTGTGGTTTGTGAATGAAGTAGTACTAACGAGGGTTCTGGTATGACAGATTATGCTGCGGGATTAGTGGTGGTAGTTGATGTTGATCACTTGTTCCAGGCGGAGATAGTATAACAAATGTTGGCATTCGGTTTGCCAGGTAAAAAGGTATAGAAACACCAATCCATTATAATTGATATTATAGACTTTTCTAATCGTAACACCAAAAACAAGTCTGACGCCAGCTATTCACCAAGCCGCCCCCACCGATACATCCATCTAAAGGGCTGCAGTGTACGGAACGGCAATCGACAAAAGGTCGCGATTAGAGAATACGAGCCGAAATTGCTGGACCGTGTACTTGTATGTGCCAAAGGTAAGGTCCTCATCTGCCGGAGCCTTTTGGGGCAATTTGTAATTGTCCACACGGTCCTCGGGCACAGTAAAAACAACGAAGACATTTTTAATGGTCTTCGGTAATGCTAGCAGAACAGCACGGACTCCATCCACTTTTATTTCGTGTGACAATGCCATGGTTATCTGAAAGAGGATCAGTGTCCGAGTACTGATCACTACTAGGCTATCAAACGATTCCTGAGTCCGGCACCGAGGCTGAAAATATGTCCCGATCAGGCCAGGTTCTACTCCTTTACTCCCGGTATCCTGGAGCTGCCTTCCCAGATCACTGCACGTCGTAAAGTACCAGGCTTCGGTGGGGCTAGTGGACTTGATATTAAATCGCAGTACTTGGGGAGGATCATGGAGAGAAAGCCAGTCTGCTTCGAATCCCCCCCCCTTTCGCAACCAGTCATGGGCATAGGCCTCAAAGAACCACCCGGCTGATGTTCTCAGAGTGGGTTGCTGGCAAAGAGATTGGAATATCTTATAACCTCGCTCTTTTACACCGATGTTTGCCTGACTAAGTATTCGGCAGGCTATCTACTGAGTCATAATTTCCTGCTTGTAGCTGGTGTTCTCGCGGCAGGGATGCATTAGAAGAATCTTGTGCGTTTTGAAACATCCCACAGCACTCGACAGGGAACCGAATTTGTATTGAGACAATGCCTATTGGATTTCAATATCGATAGTCTGAACATAGGCTGAGAATTTCTGATCATATTGGGTGGTACCGAGTTCTGCGGGAACACTCAGTAGGCAGGTGCGAGCAATTGGGCCTAAACATATGAAGGTGGTATAAAGGGTTTGGATTTCTGCAGGGGTAGGATCGGTTCGGTCAAGACTGTTGTACAGTCACACCTCGCTATCCCGGACCTCGATAATCTGGATCCCTCGCTGTCCCGTATGAATCTTGGTGAACTCTGAATTTCTTTCCACCAAAACCTCACCCGCTGTCCCGGATCCCTCGCTGTACCGGACAAATTCCTCGAATTTTGGCCATCCGGGTTAGCGAGGTGCAACTGTATATTAGATGATTAGTATAAACATTCCTATTGTGATCAGAAAGAGACTTTACGTGAAAGCAGCATATATCTCATCCCATTCCCAATTATTCATAAAAGTTTCACCGGGATTTCTTGCTTTCACCCAGTCCCAGGAAGCATCAACCTTTTTCTCTGATGAAGCAAGGATGATAAACCAGCTATGCCATCGACTATTCCAGTTGGGATCAGTAAGGGGCGCGTCGGTTAAGATCCAAAGGTTGTGTTTCGAGGGATGGTAGTCGCAATCTGAATGAGGTATAAAAGTGTACGAGTTTTCCAACTTAGTGAATTGAACTAAATGCGAAAGTAGTACCTTATATATCTTGAAAGAAGAAACACAAAAATAGACAAATAAACAAACCGGAGATGTTGTTCATCCGGGTCGGAAGAACCTAAAGGTTGCGCATTAGGTCCAATGGAAAAGGAGCAATGTTCCACCGTCGGCAGAATGTAGATATCCCTTGAAGTATACCAAGAAGGGATTAGGAGCGGAGAGAAAAGCGAGAAAGGAAAAAGGAAATAAAACATCACTCAGTGGTAAATAGCAATAGGAAAGATCCCCGGTTCAACAGGTTGCGCTTCGTTATATTTCCGAGATTGAACAATTCGCGGCTATTTACACGCCGGCCCCGATGGATTTCGTCGAAAGAGTAACAGTCTTCATCCGAAACACGATATATGGTAGGGCGACAAGTGACAAGTCGCTTCACAAGGAGGTACACAAGGAAGGTTGTTTTGCCTTTTCAATATTAGCAGTCGTGAGGACATTATTAGGAAACCCGGTTCATACCAGAGCCCGGTTGCCCGGATACTTTATAGTCTAGCGGAACGCCTCTATATGAAAGCCTTTCACCTTTTTCATTTGCCCACTTCGCAGATTGGGCATCTTCCAGGACCTCTTCAATTCGAAGATATTCATGACGGAGAATAAAATCTATTGTCACCGCGGCTAATGACCTTGTGGTTTTGACTTTGAAGTACCTTTTGGAGATTTTCTTCTGGGATATTGCGGTAAGCTGGAATGGGGAAACTGGTGCTCGGGCTGTAGCCTCACGGTATTCAGGATCTCTGTAAAAGTCGGGTTGTGGTACCTCCACTTCAAACTTGGTTATTTGAACGGATGAACTCTGGCCCCACAATTCTTTATATAATTCCTCTATCCCCTTTGGTTACCGCAAGGGATAGGCGAATCGGAGAAAGCTTTTAATCTGGGCTGAAGCCAGGCTGTAGCAAGATCGGGGTGATAGGATGTCGCCGGTAAATCAGGAAAGAAACCAGGTATTCGACCGCGAGAATAACAGATTAAGGCCAATAGTATAGATACAGGAGGAGGAAAATGTGTTTGCGCTGGGTGGGAGCGGAGGTGAGGGGTGGCGTGTGTGTCAGATAAGAGGAATTCAGACAGTGGAGGACAAGTGTCAGATAAGGGGAATTCAGACGGTGGAGGACGGTGGTCTTGTTTACACCTTCCCGCGGATCATATATTACGTCGTGGTCATGTAACTCCTGATGGAGTGATTACGTACAGTACGAGTACATTGCTGACACGGGAGAATCACCATCAGGATTACTGGGTGACACTACGAGGCTCCAGGGAGGATAGTGCTACGGTACCGTAAAAACCCGCTGTATCCACTATCGGGAATCGGGCCCTTGGCCTTCGCAATCCGAGACAAAAACCCTGTCAAGGAATAGTATTTTCCAGACAAGGTATAGCTTGGAGAAGCAGGGCTTGTGAGATCTCATTAACCGATATTCGTTATTTTGTTAACCTGCCGTGCTAAGTCTATTGTGGTTTGGTGGTATGCTACAGTTGAGATCACCGATAGTGGATAGTCTACAGCGAGTTTTTACGGTATTACTGGTACCGCTTATTCGAGAGGGTGTGATGCAAGTAAAGCGCAGGAGATTTCCAGCGATGAGTATGATACCCCTGCTAATGAATTTTCATTACAAAGTGTATGCTAGACTGGTGTTCGGCACACCTTTCGCCACCAACAAAGCACCAAAGATCGCAGTGAACTCACCGTGAATTGATGAAATAGCCGCTTTTCAGCTTCACTTGGTAACTGCTACTACTGAGGAGAATCTGCCCATCGTCTGCCTACACTCGAGCACTCCCTGTTGTACGGCATTCAAGCACAGCCGCCCGGCAACTCAAGCTTTCTTATCGGAGGCGCCCTCCTTTTTTCTTCTTTTCTTTCGTGCCAAATGCTTGCCGATATATACGAGTTGGGTTTCTTGGGTTGGGAACTACTGGTACCGGTACAGTACAATACTATATTTATCTACCCACACCATCTCTTCCGCCCGTACGAGGTACGGTACTGTAAATATCAGGCTCTAGAGTTCCGCTGGTGGTCTACAGAAGAAACTTTCTTGGCACCATATCAGAGCGTGCAGTAAAATCTCAGCCTCAAATGTGCGTCTCCCCGCTTGATTCCCCGCTTCATCTGAGCCTCTGCGGGATTTGCTATGCCACCGGAATAAGTGCACATTGCCTTCCGGGGTTGTTGCCTTGTACGGTACTCGAGTATGAGAACGGCAAGCACCCTAATAATAGTATCATCGCTAGAGACCCCATCCTCCACCCCCAACCAAACCAAAGTCCCTCACTATTGTCATTGCCCCCCACCCCGCCCCTCCTCCGTCTTATCGGCATAGCGAGCAACATGGATGTCGCTGAATCTCAGCAGCCAAGTCCTTCACAAAACATCAACTGCGGCAACATCAGCGGCTCCTGTAACAACACGTGGAACAACTACCACTTTTCGGCAACCGGCGAGAGACGTCAGATTCTCGAATGGTTATCTCCGTTGGCTCCTCGCAAGAGGCATCGGGATGTCAGAAGATCTCAGGTGGAGGGGGTAGGCGATTGGTTTTTGAGGACAGACGAGTTTGTAAATTGGAATACCGGCAAGGATGAGGTGGCTAGCCCTGTCGTGTTTTGCTATGGGGATCCTGGCGTTGGGAAAACACACCTCAGGTATGGGATAACACTCTCTTCTCCAGACTGGGGAGGCTAAGTGGTGGTGCCTCTGAGCACCTCGTTAGTTATAGAAACCTTATGCTGTCAAAGCAATGGACAGTAGGTCACTGCCACATGCCTGTATTGCGACTTCCACGCTCACAAGGGGGAATCCACCACCTCCATGTTAGGAGCCATACTCAAGCAAGTCATAAGCGGCCTAGAGCGTGTTCCGGAGGCAATCGAGTCGGCATTCAAGAGATCAAAAAAGCTGCTTGAAGGTCGAGAGATGGAATCGGGTGAAATGCACGAGCTACTCATCTCATCTCTCCAGACACTAAAAAGGAGCTACATTTGTCTCGACACGTTGGACGAGTTTCCCAGGGAGCATCGGCCGGAGCTTCTTAAATCATTAGCCCAGATCATCCGGGAATCACCCCGCACTCAGCTATTGCTCACCGGTCGGCCACCAATTCGGGATGAGATTGAGAGATATCTTACTAGAAGCGTGAAGATCCGAATCAAAGCAAGAGAGGAAGACATCAAGAAATATCTCACCATGAGGTTGAGCAATCATACACAGCCTGAGGTGATAGACCATGATTTAAGGGAGGAGATCCTTCGCACTATTCCCCAGGGGATTGCCGGAACGTACGTGAGAGATGTCATGACATTGAGCGGATTTATTTATTCGCAGGCCATCTACTGACATACGTCCAGATACCTCCTAGCCTCTTTGAGTGCGAACGAAATCCTAGCCCAGTCAACTATTGCCCGGAGAAGAAAGACACTTAGAAAGATGACCAATGGCCCAGAAATGGGTGGTGCCTATGCCGCAACCCTCGAGCGTATTAGGGAGCAGGACGGAGACAAGCCGAAGCTCGCGATTGAGGTATTGATGTGGATCTCGCGGTCCGAGCGGCCATTGGCCGCGGGGGAGTTATGTCACGCTTTAGCAATTGAAAAGGATTCGACAAAGCCCGACTGTCAGAATGTGCCTGCAATCAGGACGTTGTTAAGCTGTTGCCTCGGGCTGGTCACCATGGATGATGAGGGGTCAAGGGTTCGGTTGATACACCTGACCCTGCAAGAGTATGATATCTTGCTGGACATGGCAAGCTTTTCGGCAGCGCTCACCCGAAAATGGCGGAGGTTTGTCTCACATACCCCAACCTTCAGAGCATTAAGGACCTGTCCCCTACTCTCCAAATTTCCCCGCTTCAGGAGCCCTTTCTCGAGTATGCCTCTTGTCACTGGGGTACCCATGCTAGAAAAGAACCGAGTGAAAAAGCAAAATCACTCGCACTGCAACTTCTTGATCAGTATGACCGCCATGCATCCGGGGAGCTGCTTCTAGTGAACCAGAAGGCCTGGCCATTCCATAGCATTCACGAACACGAACGCTCCCTCAGCGGATTTACTGGATTGCACGCTATCGCTCACTTCGGGGTTGCCGAAATTGCTGTGGCTGTGGTTAAGTCAGGGGTTTTGGACGTGAACGGAATGGATTGCTGGGGATCTACACCACTTCTATGGGCCGTTAGAAACAATAGCATAGAGGTGTGTGAGCTTCTTCTAGAATTAAGGGAGGTGAATCCCAACATCGCACACCATAAAGGCCGGACACCAATCTCTGAGGCAACTGCAGCAGGGAACGAGGGTATAGTGAAACTACTCCTCGAAGGCCAGGAGGTCAACCGGGGTTCGTCTTGTAGCGACGGCGAAACGCTGTTGTTGGCGGCAAGGAATGGGCACGAGAGTATTGTAAAGTTGCTCCCCGAACAAAAGGAAATCAATTCCAATTCACCAGAGATAAGTACGGAAAAACATCATTATCGTGGGCAGCTTGGGGTGGGCACGAGGGGATAGTGAAGCTACTCCTAGAGCATGGGGGGGTCAACCCAGACTCATTGGCTAATGCAGGCCGAACACCACTGTCGGGGGCGGCAGGGAATGGACACAAAGGTGCTGCGAAGCTACTCCCCGAGCGCAAGGGAGTCAGTCCTGATTCGGCAGATGCGGAGGGGGAAACACCTCTCTCGACGGCCGCTGGTAATGGGCACGAGAGCATAGTGAAGCTGCTCCTCGATCGCAAGGAAGTCAATCCCGGTTCGACGGATAAGTACGGAATGGCACCTCTATCGTGGGCCGCTGCGAGTGGACGTAAGGGTATAGTGAAGCTACTCCTCGAGCACAAGGAAGTCAATCCCGATACATCCGATTGGGGGGGGGGGGCCAACACCACACGCTTGGGCGACTCTGAATGGGCACCAGCGTATAGTGGAACTCCTCCTCCAATGCAAGAAAGTCAATACCAACTCATCAGATGAGCGCGGCTGGACGCCACTATCGTTGGCGGCTGGGAATGGCTGCGGTGGTATTGTGAAACTATTGCTCGAACTGAAGGAAGTCAATCCCAACTTATCAGATACGGACAACCGAACGCCACTCTCTTGGGCGGCCGACCACCCCGCAGGCCAATTCTCCCTATCACATGATGAATTCATTACCGGTGGGCCGGGCATTGTTAAGCTGTTCCTCCAACGCAAGGATGTCAAACCTGACTCCCCTGATAACCGGGGCCGAACCACTCTCTGGCGGGCAGCCCAGCTGGGGCATGGCGGTGTGGTGAAGCTCCTCCTAGAACGAAGCGATGTAAACCCCAATAGTCCAAACAACGACGGCGAAACACCACTCATGGTGGCGACTAAGAACGGGCACAGGGGCATTAGTGAAGCTAATCCAGGAGCAGCTGAGTATCGGCCCCCAAATCCCAGTGTCCTCCGAACAAGAAACCCCCTCCCTAGCTAGCAACCCATCATGCAACACTCTTGCGCAAGGAATCACCCCCGACTCATGCAATCAGGCGAACTCGAAGCCACAATCAAATACCTTCCAACATGACTTCATAGATTCCTTCAAAAAATCCCCGAGAACTCACAATGCTGCCATGGACGCCGCCGACCTTTACCGCCATTACCGCCCAGCCGTTCTTCCTCTCTTATTTCTTCTTTGTATCATCCCCCCATTAGCCCTCAGGGGCTGCTTGATTTTTACATTTCTTGTACTCGTTTGTTTCGGCTCGCATTGACCCCCACCCCAGCTCTTTCCTTATATCATTTGTCATCTCCCATCCGTCCCTTGCTTACTGCATGTTTTTTTTCTTTTCTTCTCTTGCTATTTTCCCTTCCC